CACCTGTAATATAACGGCGAAACAGTACAATCTCAACGCCAAAGTAACTTTATTTAATCCGAGTATGTTTTATTGCTTCAAATGCCAGACATTTGTGACGAGATGTCGATTTCACACCAAGGCGAAACAGTCAAAAACTTTTTGCTACGCGGCCTTCCAATAATTCATTTAAGATAACTAACTAAAGGAGACATTTACTGAATTAAAGCTTAAAACAGTTGCCTTTTCTGTAACCTATCAAGTTCGTTTGCAAAAAGTTATTTCAGAGTCATTTCAGGACCGGCAATACAAGTTTCATTGTTTATTTTGCTTGCAAGTCACGGTTTCATTCCTGGCGGTGGAATTTACTATGTACCTCAGAGTGGGTTGTTTTACAAAAGGGCAGCCGTTTATTTCCGAAGTAAACATGTTTCCGATAGTCTTTTGTACTTTGGCAATATATAGTTTAGTTAAAATATGTATCTACAAACAAATCGAAGTAAAATAGGTCTCGCGAATTCCAATTAAAAGTTCGGTCAGAAATATTTTCCGCCAGTGCAAAGTTTTTTTTTGACTAATGTTTTCACTTTGTTTCGACTTTCTGCGATTGGCAATCCATGACTCACAAAAAGACCCGCTTGCAATAGTTTGCTGGACTGCAGGATAGAGTATTTAAGCACGCCAAATCCATTTAAGCTAATTAATTTTACCCAGTAAGTAGGTTGAATTTTCCCAAGAGAATTCAATTTTAGACATCACGCTGCATGTAAAAACGATATGTATCCTCAGTTCTCTTGTTCTTTTTTGCTTTGTATTTTCTTTTCCGTTTTTGCCGTCGTGTAAAACATACTGCAACCATGTAATGATCGAAGCTCTACCCAAAATTAATTTTGAGACTTTTGCTAACACTTCGTTTGCTTTCGGAAGGCATGACGCGTCATATCTACAGCAGATCGAAGGTCGGACGACAGAAGTTCGCAAATGCGGGTCTTTTTTAAAGGTTTCTTTCGTTTCTCCTTTGTTATGTTTCAAAAATATGAACTGTTGTTTTTTGGATGAGAAGAATTGCTAAGTAATGCGGGTGGACTCTGGTCAGTTATTCTTCCATTATCGGCACATAAACTGATGAACGAGATTGTCGAGGAAAGTCAGAGGTCAGCGAATCCTAATTGGCAGTGACACGAAAAGACAGGTTGGGTGACACCAATTTGCCGCTATCCAACATGGTATCCATTCCAAGAAGAGGTCACGAAGGAGAGAAGAATAGAATGAAAATCTTCAGACTTATAAGTGCTGCTATGTCAGGATTGCCAGCGGAAATCTTTCTTGCGATCAATGTTGTTTTGTCGGCTCAGTGTTAAATGGACACGTGCTACATTAGACGGTTGGAAAATAAGCGCCTGCTCGCATTAACTTTGTAATCCCATTTTCCATAGTCAACTGAAGTAAATGCAGCTCTGTAACTTAATTTATACATGTACACAGTTATACAGGTTGAATTGTTTAGAATTTTAGAATTGCGTTGCCGTGACTCTGAAATCTACACATTGTCCGTCTGTCAGTAATCTAATTAACGTAAAAAGATTGAAATATTTCTTGTGGGTGAAGGTACTTTTGATTGCATGAATAAACTCTTGTTATCACTTTATTTTACTTTGAAAGAAGCACATTGACCTCCAGAACGAAAATGTGATAATGAAAGAAGTCAAAACGCTTTACTTCAGCAGACTTTCTTGGCCTCAGAAAAACACGCATGCAGTCTATTGTTTACTTTTTGCTGATGTTCAGGATGTTTTGGTTAAAATCCGGTTATTTCAGCGGCGCATTNATGTTATCATTCTATTTTACTTTAACAGAAGCATATTGACCTGCAGAACAAAAATATGATAATGAAAGAAGTTAAACCGCTTTACTTCAGCAGACTCTCTTGGTCTCAGAAAAACGCGCAAGCAGTCTATTGTTTACTTCTTGCCAATGTTTTCATTAAAATCCGGTTATTTCAGCGACGCGTTAAAAACCACTCGAAGAGTAACCCAAGCTGATTTTGATACATGTTTTACAACAACATAAAAGTGTTAAGTACAAGGAACTAATAATACAAGGACTTTAAACGCCTATACCCGTAGTGTCGTAGCTAAAAACATGAAAAGATACTGAATTTATTCATTAAAATTTCTAGCCGTTATGCATGGCACTTGGAGTTTTTGTTCTCCTATCTGAAGGGAAATTTATACGTGTACAAACTTTTTTCTTTCTTTTTCAACTGTTGAGTTACAAAAACATGAAAACGAGAAATCAAAACACTGACAGCATTTATCCACAATCTCGAAACTGCAGTAAACTACAGGCACAGGTTGTTTGAAAGGTGGATAACGCTATCTACCGGATAAATCGCTATCCAGTGGATAAGTTTTACCAAAACAAACCGCGCTATCCACTGCATAGTGATTTATCCAGTGGATAGCATTATCCACCTTTCAAACAACTTGGGCCTGTTTTCATCCTAAAAACTAAATTTTCGTGCTATGTTATGACTCAATTCACATGGGAAAGTGATCACTTTTTCTCTTCATCTAAAAACGGAAGGAGAAAGTTGTATTTCATGAGCCACTTAGCTGAGCGGATGCTATCGTCTGATAGTCGGCCGTGGGCATTCTATATACCTCTTACTAACCGAGTTCGAGGGTTGTACTGTAAGTTACGGACCGAGTTTTTTCCCCATTGATTTATGTCCCAGCGCAAAGCGCGGGCCATAAATCGGAGGGAAAAACAAGAATTAGTAACTGACAGTATGGCCATCGAACTGGATTAGTAAGATATTTATTATATCTCTACTGTGTGTCTGCCGGGCTCGGGAACGATTACTATTGACGCGGAACGGCTTCAAATTTCTGACGCACGTCAAAAGTAAAACGAGTCAGTTTGAAATCGTTGTTAAGTGACTCTTAAGTCGTTAGCAGGTTTTAATACACAGTTTTGGAAGTAAAAGAAAGTTTCGCAACAAAAACAGCTTTAAATTTTAGCGGGCAGTACAGTAGAATACACCCCCGCTAAATTGACCAATCACAACGCGCGTACTAACTGAGAGCTATAATAATGCCTGATAGTGCCACGCGATCAGTTTTGGTCAATGATGACAAAGGACAATTTAGCGGGGAGCTATATGAAAAGAAAGATTTAAAGTGATGTCAGTCAACGTTTCGATGTATCAAGCATCGTTCTCAAGATTGCTTGAGGTCGATTCATATGACTTTAAATCTTTCTGGTGAAATGTTTAACAAGCAACTCATTATACGGACTATAATATGGTCTGGTTAATTGGGCCTTCGGCCTCATCACTTCATAGGAATATCGAGCTCATTATACAATTTTTATTTATCAATAATCGAGTAATTTATTACTTACTGATCTTTACCACTAGCCATTACGAGAGGAACCGTCCGTCTAATTGGCAGCACTCCATCAACTGGAAGAGTTGAAATATATCACGATGGACGATGGGGAACGATTTGCGATGACTATTGGGATATGAATGACGCTAACGTTGTGTGCAAGCAGCTTGGTTTCCCGCAAGCCTCTCGAGCTTTCAGGGGAGCCACTCATGGTCAGGGATCTGGTCCGATATGGATGGATGACGTGAAATGCTCAGGATGGGAGTCACACATCTATGACTGCGGACACCGTGGATGGGGAAGCACTGACTGCACCCATAGCGAAGACGCTAGTGTGGAGTGTTCTTATCCTGGCTCTTCGTCCATTCGCTTGGTAAATGGTGGACCTAACTACGGCCGGGTTGAAGTTAACCATAACGGGCAATGGGGCACAGTGTGTGATGATCGCTGGGACATCAATGACGCGGATGTGGTGTGTCGTCAACTTGGCTACCCCGGGGCAGGTTCTGCCCCTCACCAAGCACTATACGGCCAGGGATCAGATCCTGTCTGGTTGGATAACGTCAACTGTACGGGAGGAGAGGCTTCACTATTTGAATGCGCCCATAATGGCTGGGGAGTACACAACTGTGGTCATGGCGAGGATGCAGGCGTTGTTTGTGTCTCATCGGTCATTCGCTTGGCAAATGGAGGAGATAACTACGGCCGTGTTGAAATTTATGAGAACGGGCAATGGGGCACAGTGTGTGACGATACCTGGGATATCGCTGACGCAAAGGTGGTGTGTCGCCAGCTTGGCTTCTCTGGTGCAACTTCCGCCCCTACAGATGCAACTTATGGTCAGGGTTCTGGGCCTATCTTGAGGCATCACGTACATTGCCAAGGATCGGAAACTTCATTGTTAGTTTGCCCACATGACAAGTATTCGCCGACTCACTGTCATCACGGCGAGGACTCAAGTGTGGTCTGCTATTAGTGGATATAGACTTAAGCGCCGGCCAAACGATCGCAACATTTTAACGCAACATATCGCAACATTGTTGGGCGCAACATGTTGCCCGCGTTTGGCCACCCTGTTGCGAGGTGTTACGAGGTGTGGCGACATGTTGGGTGTTGTTGGCTCAAATTTGAAACTGGTCAAATTTTCATGCAACATTTGTGGGTGTGGCATGATGTTGTGGTCGTTTGGCCAGGTTCGTGCAACAATGTTGTACCCGGGCATGCGCACTAGTTCGATTTTCAATACCCGACATGTCGCAACACCTCGCAAAAGTGCGGCCAAACGCACGCAACATGTTGCGCCCAACAATGTTCCGATATGTTGTGCTGAAATTTTGCGATCGTTTGGCCGGTGTTTGCAAATGTTGGGCCAACAATGTTGGGATACGTTGTGTTGATATGTTGCAATCGTTTGACCGTGGCTTAAACAGAGATCTAGATTGTTACGCTGCCGTTTGTTAGCCAATGCCGTAGACATGTTTTATAGTAAGGAAGAAACTTTCAATTCGAAAATAGTCTAGACGATATCGCTTTTTTGAGAATAAGATTAAAAATCTTATGTTACTTTACAACCTCGTCAGACGTACATCGCTTTGTCATTGTATTTTTTTTGTTTTATTTTATTTATTTATCTTTTTTTGTTTTTTATTTTTTATTTTTTATTACTATTTTTTTTTTTTTATGCATTTAAATCATTGGCTTTAATTTAAGTTAGATAATCACCTTGGGGATCGGTGACTGCGTTGCTTACCTTTATAGGATCTGTAATCTAAAAAAAATGTCAATTCAGAACGTTCTGAGCAGGTTTACAGAGAAATCAATTATTGTAAGATTAGCCCGCCCACGTGGCTGTGTTTCAAAGCTTCAACACAAAGGCGCTATATAAAGGAAGTAACCAAGGCTCATTTGCCAGTACCAGCTATTTACCGTTGGCGTGCGTGGGTCAAATTCAAAATGGTGGGTGATTTATATCCACGAAATGTAAGCTGTAGGTAAATTAAAGTGTCTGTGCTGTGTTTACTTGCCATAAAATTAAATATCTTTATCTAACAAAAAGTAGTACTTCACAGATTGCTATTTAATTCGAGGAGCTTACCAGTTGGCTCGGTTCAATTTGACCGTAAGAACAAAAGTTTTTTCATACGAAGCGAGGGTGTACTTCAAACAAAAAAAATTACAGAAAAGTAATTAGACTGAGCGATGTTTTCTAACCGTTTCTTGTAACGTTTTATTGCTTTCGACGATTATAACAAATACTAAGCGTTGATTGTTGATCTCTTCATCTCCATTTTGAGTTTTTGGGTAAATTCAAAATTAGGGGGAGGAGCTTATGCTCTTTAAGAGCGCGCCTTCGTGTTTAAGTTTAGGTGAAGAAATCATAATTATCATTTGCTCTCATTTTATATGCGCAATACTCTACATGGCAGGCACCCTTTTCAAGTTTTCTCATTGTTAGAAATCATCAGTTAAAACAAACATCATTGGGTTTCAAATGTCGTTTTTTTTTTCTTTTTCTTTTTTATATACAGGAGACTAGTCATTTCGATTCACGAACCCAGTTGCATTACGAATTACAATTAAACGTGTCTTAGTTAACGAGAGGGTTTTCACTATGGCTTTTAATTAAGGTGTTTCACTATCAATACATTTGACTTTTTTTTAGATATACTATCTACATTTAATTTCAATGAGAGTGCTGCGATCAATTTAAGAAATGTTGCAGCCATTAAGATGTGTTATTTAGATAGAAGTATTAGTGTTAACTCTCTTGTTTAGGTGGATATCGTAGCACCACCCTATATTTTAGAACTATATCTTTTAAATTCCGAAATCGAAATCCCCGTGGGCATGGTTCATCAGGATGTTTATGTCAACTTGAGCGCTGGCTCTTGTTTACGGTTTCGTAGATCAGCTAAGAATTTTGCTCATGATTTAGTTATGTGTTCATTTGATTATACTTAGGTTTCTCTCCGGTAACTAGTTTTTAATCTAGAGTTATTACTTACCAGTGAAAGCTGTATTGTATAATTTCAAGTATAGGTTTTAGTCTTATTGTAAAACTTTGGTTAGCATCAGAAATTGCGTGATGAACATAGGATAACAATCTTTTAAGCTATTAGTTGTTAGGAAAAGATAATCAGTTTACGTCCATGTAATTAAGCATTTGAAAACATATATAATCGGTAACTGTAAGAGTAGAATTTAGGAGAAAGTTTACAAGGTCAGTAAAATGCGAAGAAGGGAAATTGAACGTGAAACCAGTTGAGACGATACTCCAGAGAAGCGATAAAACAAGAGAAGAAAGAAAAGGCAAGAGTTACAAGTAAGGAAATAAAATGTTATTGTTAAATTGTTGGCTCTTGTTGACGTGGAATACCTTGCTCACCGCGCTAATTCCCCAAGAAGCGCGCTACGTCCACGCGGTCCCCTTCAACAGCAAGGGAAAGACCCTTCGATTTCATTATCCCAGGATTGATTACTCTTTTTTTGTTGCTGTTTTTGTTTTTGCTTTTCAATAATCGTTGTCCGAGATGCAGTGAAACTTTGTTGGGGCGGGACAAAGTAAACCCGGCAAAACATCGGCAGAAGTTTGAAGAACGGCGAGATGAGGTCCACAGGAATCAAATGCCTTCAGGCCAATTCCAAACGGCTCTGCAGATGTTGTCTCCTGAGCATGGGCAGGTAAAGTGTATCCTACTATTCTGCGGAATCGGCGAACAATAACTCGAGAGTAGTTCGTATAGTGTGATCATCCGGGTGAGGGCAGTTCTGAAAAGCTCGAGAACTGTTGTTGGTGACTGACGTTTCGACAACCTGAGCGGAAGTCATCTTCAGAGTCAAGTGAATAGTTTTTGTCAGTCGATGATGTTATAAGTCTG